CTCTTGCAATAAGGAATAAATTTGATACATGTACTCACTGTGTTCCGCGTCAAATGCACCACTGATTTCCATTAGAACACGCGCCTATGCAGTGAGTACTAAAAAAACAAGCCCTGTTTTGTTCCGCTCGGAGTGGATTAAATTAATTGAGTATAATTGCAAATATCACCAATCTCCATGATCAAATATTGCCTTACCTGGAAAGCCTCTGCGATCCCTTCGCCCGATAATGCTGATGTCTCAAAGTAATGGAAGCCGTGCTGGTCAGCCCACAGCCGCCCCTCACTCTCGTCCACCTGACGCTGGGACGACCTGTCAATCTATGCCAAAAAATGCTGTCTGATTAGACCACATTCCCTTCTCAAAAGAGTGTGTGCTAACCCCAGTTACCCCAAATTTCCCTAAATCTTGCCTAGCGACTGTACGGCCATGATGTTATGTTCAAGTTTTTAAAAACAAGCCATTGGCACGTATTGTTGAACTGGAAAGGTTTCTTATCTTAAAGTGTAACTGCAATGAATTTTTCTTAGACACAATTTTTCTGCTACTTTGAACTCTTCTTCAACGTATGAAAATTCTTTACATTCCTATTTGGTTAAATGCATTGAAAAGTACAATGTTTTACACAATCAGAATTATCCATGCTTTCTCAGACAACTGAGGGCGCTGTTGATGTGATGTCAGCCAGGGAAGACATTATTGTGAACCCAGAAGTTACTTACTGAAAACATTTCTGAGAAAGGGACTGACGCCTGCTTATTGCTATGCACATACGTAACAATAAATCCGTAAAGAAGAGAAAACTTAGTCCAGCAAAATCTACAAAACGCAGCACTTGTTTGTGCACAAACCAATGAAACACTGAGGCTTTCTTCCTGGGATGACATAACAGTTTTGCTCATGAATATGGAAATTCTTATTGGCATAAAAAACAAAACAGCAGTAAAATACCCTTTGAAACAGTGAAACAAAAGTTGAAAATAAGGTTAACTGGAACACTCAGGTGCATTTTGAAGGTTTGTACTTCAGCAAATTGATTGCAGCCACAAGTACCCTTTGTAATTGAGCTTATAGTACTTTCAGTTTTCTTCAGAATGGAAACTAGAACCCTCAAACCACCTCCAAACACTGCCATTGGAAGTTAGCATACATGTACATGTGCAAGGTACAAACATCAGAAAATCATCCAAGTCTTATTTCAACTGAACCAATTCAACCCCGCAGTCCTTGAATGGTTACATTTCCCTGTGTAGTTGACACAATCCTACAATGAAAATGTTTGCAGGTGGAAAGAGTTCCATATACAGACAACACTACTTTTCCCTTAAAATGTTATAACAGCCGTCAGAAAGTCCTAAAAAGTGAAATTTAATGAAGAAACTTCTGAAGCATTCACTAAGAAGACACAGTTTTTTTCAGACACGTCTCATAGGTTTGTGCACAGGGCCTCAAGTGCTGTCCGTATAGGGAACACGTTCCTTTGCATTTCGTGAAAATGATATCCACCTTTTAAGTGTCAAACCATATGCATAAGATCAGTTGGAAACACTCACTAAAGATTGGCAGTACAGGTATGACAGGCTTACAGAAATCATCAAACTCCTCCATACCTTGTTGGCACAAACACAAAAGAAGACTTTCTCCAGTTCGCTGGGGGATCCAATCTCCTGCTTCATCTCGACCAGCCAGGCATCTAGAGCCTCGAAGCTGGCCCGGTTGCTGACGTCGTACACCAACAGCGCCCCCTGGGTGTCCTTGTAAAACTCATTCCTGACCTGATGAAAGCAACAGTTTACATGTATATCCCTTGGCTGGCCTATTTTGACTTCAACAACCCCTATGACTAGAACCTGAACACATACATGTACATGTATTCACGCACTTACATGTATGTCCCAAACATATGTATATGGAAACCAAGTTTTGCCCCAAAATTGTGTTTTGACTGCCTGGTGAATGTCTACCTTACATAACATCTACCACTAAACACAGCTAGAGTTGCAACCTTCAAAATGAGGAAAGGATAAAACAATCTCTTATGATGAAGCTTACATGTACATGTACATGTAGCTGTGCAGTGGACTGACATGGAGGTTGTAAAGAACCAATGTAGGAGTCTCAGGGATATATGTCCATACTTAGACATACCTCAAAGAAGATTGGATGGCCAGCCATGTCAAAGATGTTGACTTTTACAGTGCGATCCTTCACAACAACCCTGAGGAGGGGAAGGATGAAGATTTCATTTCTCAAATCTTATCTCTTTGATCATAAACTGTGTTTGCTTGCTAGGAACACCTCTATTTATTAGTTTTTAAAGCCACTGAATAAGTTTGCTGATAGTTAAAAGTGGCATTTTCCAAATTTCTTTGTCTAACTAAAATGTATACGTCCTTTGCTATTGATTTGAGTTTTTGAGTTTAAGCATTTGCCATTGTGTGATTTATGACATTTACAACAAATGAATTTTAAAAAAAGCCAAAGCAGACAATACTAAGACTCCATACTATATAGACAGCATGCCAGGGGTGTTTCAACCA